CTCCACTACCTGTGAAGCTCTGACACGTCCGCTTTGTTTTTATCTCCTACATTATTATTTTTATTACTTGTGTGGAACTTTTTAAGAGGAAGTTGCTGCCTTGTGCACCTTCACTCCTACAAACTTCCACCATGTATTTTCTGCAAACTAGGATATTCTCTTTCATAACCAGAATGTACTTACCAATTCAGGAAAGTTCATGTTAATTCAATATCATTATCTGCTCTACAGTCTGTCTGTATTCAAATGTGGCCAGCTATTCCAGGCCGCCTCTCTGCGGTTTCCCCTTCATTCCAGGGTCCAATCCGTAATGCATTTGGTCGTCACATCTCCTTATTCTTCGAAGATCTGGAAGAATGTCTCTGGCTTTCTTTGTCCTTCCAGACACTGACATTTTTGAAGAGTACAGGCCGGTTATTTTGTCAAATGACCCTCAATTTGGATTTGCATTGTTTCTGCAGCTACCACAGAAGGATGCTGTGCCCTTCTGAGTGCATCTGGAATTTCCTGATGTCGGCTTGCCCCACTATTGGTGGTGTTAAGTTTGATCACTTGCTGGGGGCACCTGGCTGGCTCAGTTGGTAGAGTGTGACTCTCGATCTCAGGGTTGTGAGTTCGAGCCTGTTGTAGAGATTAAAAATAAATCTATTTGTAAAAAACGTTTGGGGCGCCTGGGTGGCTCAGTTGGTTAAGCGACTGCCTTCGGCTCAGGTCATGATCCTGGAGTCCCTGGATCGAGTCCCACATCGGGCTCCCTGCTCAGCAAGGAGCTTGCTTCTCCCTCTGACCCTCCCCCCCTCTCATGTGCTCTCTCTCTCTCATTCTCTCTGTCTCAAATAAATAAATAAAATCTTTAAAAAAAAAAACACAAAAAAAACGTTTGATCACTTGGTTAAGATGATGTCTACTAGATTTCTCCACCACGAAACCATGAAGCTGCTACTTTTCCTTGGTAATGAACACGTATCTTGTGGGGAGATACTTTAAGCCTATAAACATATCATATATGCACCCTTTCCCTGCTGCCCCAATTTTACTCAACAGTTTTAACACTCATTCTTACTTGAATCAGTTATGTGGTGGCTGCAGATTGGTCATTTTTAAAGTCTACGTTCCTTCTATTATTTGAATTATTTATACACAAACATGTTTCTAAATGTAGCACAGTAATTAAGTATCCGACCCTAGTAGTACCTGGGCTATTCTTATCTTGGGCCTTGGGCCCTTAGACCAACCTGTTTTGTTTGTTTGTTTTTAAGATTTTATTCATTTATTTGAGAGAGAAAGAGAGAGAGAGAGCTCAAGGCCAAGGAGAGCAGCAGAGGAAGAGGGAGAAGCAGGCTTCCTGCAGAGCAGGGAGCCCGATGCGGGGCTCGATCCCAGGACCCCGGGATCATGACCTGAGCGAAGGCAGATGCTCAACCGACTGAACCACCCGGGTGCCCTAACCTGGTTTTGAAGCTCATCTCTAGTAATTGCTGGTTGTCTGAGCCTTGACAAGTCTCTGAGCTGTTTTGTTTCTCACTTTCTTCATCTATAAGTTGAGGGTAATGATATGCATTTTACAGAGTAGTTGTGAAGAGCAAATGCTCTGTACATGGAAAGTGCTTGGCACTGAGCCTGGCCTGTTCTAGGCCAGGCTACATAATCTCTCTGTCCTTGGCCTCCTCACTTGTAGAAAGGGCTTGCGGTGAGGAACAGCCATACCACACCCAGAGAACCTCTGGTTTGGCTTGTTTTTTTAAAAATTTATTTAAGTGGGGTGCCTGGGTGGCTCAGTCGTTAAGCGTCTGCCTTCGGCTCAGGTCATGATCCCGGGGTCCTGGGATCGAGCCCTGCATCGGGCTCCCTGCTCTGCGGGAAGCCTGCTTCTCCCTCTCCCACTCCCCCTGCTTGTGTTCCCTCTCTCGGTATGTATCTCTCTGTCAAATAAATAAATAAAATCTTTAAAAAATTTTATTTAAGTAATCTCTACACCCAACGTGGGCTCGAACCCCCGACAGCGAGATCAAGAGCCCCACGCCCCTCTAACTGAGCCAGCCAAGCTCCCCCGACCTTAGCAATTTTTTAAAGATTGGGAAATTAGGACTCTTTGTGTAGTCTTACAAATATTTTTGTTGACTTTTTAGAATTAAAAAAAATTTAACCTTCAATTACTTTTCAGCCAATTATTTGTACTTTTCTGTTTGTCATAGCAAAATGTTGAAAAACTTAAATGTCTAACAATGGAATGGTTTTTTTTCTTCCTTTTTCTCTCTTTCTTCTCTCCTTCTTTCTTTTGTTCAGTAAGTACAGAACAGGATGTACAAAAGATTTAATATGGATGACATGCATATATACTTATGTAAATACAGACACAAAACACAACTTTGTTTTTTTTTTTTTTAAAGATTTTATTTATTTATTTGACAGAGAGAGACACAGCGAGAGAGGGAACACAAGCAGGGGGAGTGGGAGAGGGAGAAGCAGGCTTCCCGCAGAGCAGGGAGCCCGATGCGGGGCTCAATCCCGGGACCCTGGGATCATGACCTGAGCCGAAGGCAGACGCTTAACGACTGAGCCACCCAGGCGCCCAAAACACAACTTTGTTATGAATGCTTCTCCCATGGAAGAGTTTGGAGCTTTTCCTCTTATACTGTCCTGACTGTCGGGAGAGGCAATCCCCCGAGGTCCTGAGCATCCCTGCACCCTCCTGCTGACATGTCGGGAGCTTTTCCTCTTATACTGTCCTGACTGTTGGGAGAGGCAATCCGCCGAGGCCCTGAGCATCCCTGCACCCTCCTGCTGGCAATTTGAGACCGCCAGGCCCCAGCCCCTCTACCTCCCGGCAATTTCTCTGAGGTGTGTTTGTGGTAACTCTGAGGGATGAAGCGATGTCTCCCTGAAGAGAAGGCTTGCTTTCCACTTGCTCAAATAGAGGGAAATGCCCCAAGCTCAGTGTTCCTCAGCTGCAGGGCAAGCTCCTCTGCATCACCCCTGTGGGACTTGAGGGAAAGGAGAACTGATGCAAGCATTATGCTCCTGCTGCTTGCTCTGTGGTGAGTAATGGATTCCTCTGTCTCGGCCCCAGGCGTCTCCTGTAACTGCATCAGACTAACACGTTAGCTTGAGAGCGGGATGTAATCCCAGGCCCTGAGAGGAGCCTGTTCAATCATTTATCAGGTACAAATACCATTGCTTTTACAATATAAAAATCGGTTTTGCTTTTTTAAAAAGAAAGGCAAACAAACAAACAAACAAACACCCCAAACCAGACATACACAGAAAGTCGAAGTTTGCAAATCAGAAGAAAATAGGGGCCCCTGGGTGGCTCAGTCGGTTAAGCGTCTGCCTTCGGCTCAGGTCATGATCCCAGGGTCCTGGGATCGAGCCCCACATCGGGCTCCCCGCTCAGCGGGAAGCCTGCTTCTCCCTCTCCCTCTGTTGCTCCCCCCTGCTTATGCTCACACTCTCTTTCTCAAATAAATAAATAAAATCATTTAAAAAATCAGAAGAGAAAAAATAAAATAAAATAAAAAGAGGGCTGCCTGGGTGGCTCAGTTGGTTGAATGTCAGACCCTCCATTTTGGCTCAGGTCATGATCTCAGGGTGGTGAGATCAAGCCCTGCGTTGGGCCTTGCACTCAACATGGGGTCTGCTTGGGTTTCTCGCCCTCGCCCTCCGCTCTTCCTCTTGCACGCGCATGCACGTTCTCTCTCACAAATAAATATATATTTCTTTATATTTATATAAATATATATATATCAAATAAATATATATATATCTCGCAAATAAGAGATATATATATTTAAATATTTTATTTATTTATTTGAGAGAGAGAGAGAGAGAGATTGCGAGAACGAGGGGGGGAGGAGCAGAGGGAAAAGCAGAATCCCTGTGGAGCAGGGAGCCCGATGTGGGACTTGATCCCAGGACCCTGGGATCACGACCTGAGCCGAAGGCAGACGCTTAACCAACTGAGCCACCCAGGCACCCATAAATAAAATATATATATTTTTAAGATTTTATTTATTTATTTGACAGAGAGAGACACAACGAGAGAGGGAACACAAGCAGGGGGAGTGGGAGAGGGAGAAGCAGGTTTCCCACAGAGCAGGGAGCCCGATGTGGGACTCCATCCCAGGAACCTGGGATCATGACCTGAGCCGAAGGCAGACGCTTAACGACTGAAAAAAATAAAAAGAAAGAAAAAAGAAATGAAGAAAATATATATACACATACAAAAAAGGAGGAGGAGAAAAAAAAAACTAGAGGAAATTCAGAAAACAGCAACCATCCAAAGAAGAAAATAAAGAACCCTATTCACACCTGTCCAAAGAAACTGGATTAATGCCTCAATCGATATTTTTCCAGACTGTTTTCCATATAGAGTCCTACATCTTTATTAGTCTTCTACAAAAATAAAATTGTAACATATGAGTGCTTAGTAACCGCCTCCGTCTAGTTAAGCACCCCACAGCTGGGGGCCATTGTGGTGGACCCCCCCCCCCCCAGTTTCTGGAGAAGTCATCAAGAGCCCACCAGGGATTGCACACAGCCTGCAAATGCTTTCGCTGCCCCCAGCCAGAGTCGGGTCCTCTTCTTGCCCTGGTACTTCCTGGGAACTCTTGGGGCAGGAAATGGTGCTACCCTGGGTTTGGGCCTAACAGCTTGGGGACCACAAATGCAAAGGAAACCATCTTCCCTCCCATGTCCTCCTCTGCACGCCCTTGTTGTCAAGCACACCTCCGCATCACCCCAGCTCTGACCCTCATCCCCATCTCGGCTTCACCCCTTGCGCATCCCAGTTCCCAGCTAAGTCCCCATTCCAGATCCCCCCCCCCGCCACAACCCCCTCTTGCCTCCGCTGAGACCCCAGAACCCTTGGCGCCATCTCAGACCCTAGAAAGAGCAAGTGATGGAGCTGTCATCACGGCCAGCTGGGGGAGCAGTGTGGGTGGGGCAGGATGCTGGGGTGGGGTGGGTGGAGCCAGGGCCACTTCCTTTCCCCCTGGGGCCCATCTGCCCAGTCCTGCTCCAGCTTCAGGAGGAGTTGGAGCAGGCCTGGTCCCAACCTTGTGCCTTCATCAAGTGAGCTGGTAAGGGGTGCGACCTGGGGGGCAGGGGCCTTTGCGGACCTGGGAATATGCTGTGGCTTGGAAAGACCCTGGTAGATGATGGGAAAAGAGGATCGGGAGCCATCGGGGCTGAATAGGGTCATGGAAGGCCGGGAGGGGTGGCCAATCCTGGAGTGCAAGCAGCCGAGGCCTGAGGGGGCCTGCAGGTCCCAGTTGTCGGCAGAGCTGTCCGTGTCTGCTCCCTTGTTCTTTCTGAGAATAGTAAAAGCAAGGGTGGAAAAGGCCGTTAAACCACAACTTAGGCCTGGCAGTTAAGCAGGGAAGTGGGCAGAAGGGGAGGGCCTGGCCAGGTTCCCCCCTCAGCTCTTTCTGTGTTTGTAATTCTCCAACTTCCCCACCCTCAGGTCTCCACTCCTGTCCATGCCTGCTGCCATGGGAATGACCCTGTTTTTCCTCCTCTTTGGGGGCATCTGGACTCAAGAGATGACTCCGGGGTCTCTGCACATCACAACTGCTTTGGAGATGTCTGTACCGGGAGGGTCCTCTGCTTCCTTGGTCTCAACTTTCTCTGAGTCCCCAAACCTCAACTTAGTGACCCCCAATCCTATGACAACAAGGGTCCCAGAGAAGGGTAACAGCACCAGGCACCAGATCTCCCCACCTTCCTCAGACCTCTATACAGCCAATGAGATGTCCTTTCCTGAGGCTTCCACAGCTGCCACCAATGACCTCCATGTACCTGAGTCAACAGTCTTCTGGGAAGTTTCCACCAAGGAGTCATCAAACCTGGAAATTAATGCAAACAGTATCCCTGCTGAACCACCAAGAAAATCTCTGGCACTCCACGTTATGACTGATGGAACCATGGCAACTGGCTCTCTGGAGACCTCTGACGTAGCCGGTGGACCCCCCGTCACCATGGCAACTGGCTCTCTGGAGACCTCTGATGTAGCCGGTGGACCCCCCGTCACCATGGCAACTGGCTCTCTGGAGACCTCCGATGTAGACGGTGGACCCCCCGTCACCATGGCAACTGGCTCTCTGGAGACCTCCGATGTAGCCGGTGGACCCCCCGTCACCATGGCAACTGGCTCTCTGGAGACCTCCGATGTAGCCGGTGGACCCCCCGTCACCATGGCAACTGGCTCTCTGGAGACCTCCGATGTAACCGGTGGACCCCCCGTCACCATGGCAACTGGCTCTCTGGAGACCTCCGATGTAGCCGGTGGACCCCCCGTCACCATGGCAACTGGCTCTCTGGAGACCTCCGATGTAGACGGTGGACCCCCCGTCACCATGGCAACTGGCTCTCTGGAGACCTCCGATGTAGACGGTGGAGCCCCCGTCACCATGGCAACTGGCTCTCTGGAGACCTCCGATGTAGACGGTGGAGCCCCCGTCACCATGGCAACTGGCTCTCTGGAGACCTCCGATGTAACCGGTGGACCCCCCGTCACCATGGCAACTGGCTCTCTGCCAATCCCCAAGGGGACCAGTGACTCCCCCATCTCCATGGTAAAAATACCCACCGTGACTACCTCAGCGTCCTCCAAAAACAGAAGCAGTACCCAACTTTCAGATCAGGGGACAAAGGGCACCCTGCTGGTGGCTGTGTTTGTGGCCCTGCTGGTGGTCATTGTCCTCGTGGTCCTACTCCTGCTGTGGCGGCAGAGGCAAAAGAGGAGGACAGGGGCCCTGACACTAAGCAGGGGGGGCAAGCGCAACGGGGTGGTCGATGCAGGGGCTGGGCCGGCCCAGGTGCCTGATGAGGAGGCCCTGACAGCAATCGCAGTGGGCTCTGGGGCCGAGAAAGGCTCTGGGGGGCCTGAGGGGGAAGGGGCTGGCCGACAGCCCACACTCACCACCTTCTTGGATAGAGGCAAGTCCCAGCAGTGCTCCTTGGGGCTGGAGGAGCTGAAGGCCGGGTCAGCTCCCCTCCTAAAGGGGGAGGTGGAGCCGCTGGTGGGCAGCAAGGATGAGGCTTCGGAGCAGCCAGAAGCTGGGGAGGTGGAGGCCCCTCAGTGCTTGTGAAGAACGAGAGTGGAGGTCAGAATCATTCCCAGCTTCCATCACTTTCCGTCCGATCGTCAGCTCCAGGCTCCTTGCCTCCCAGCATGTTCATCCTGAACCCTCATCCAGCTTCTCAACCCCGGGGTCTTCCCACCAGCGCCCACCCCCGGTGCCCAGAGGGCCTACCCCCACGGGACGCTTTCAGACTGAATCAATAACCCTTCCTCATCAATTCTGACTTCTCCCCAGCGCCTTCTCCATGTTTTTGTCCTCGAGACCAGTTGCTGAGTCTCCACAATGCCTACGATTTCTCAGAGGACTCCCCAGGAACACCAGAGTCTAGGAAGGAGATGGAAGCAAACTCCCACCTTGGATCACTCTGGAAAGTACTTTGGCCCCATAGATTAGGACAGTCCTACTGGGTCAGCTCAGGACCTTCCTTTAACTCCGCGCGGTGCCCTGCGGGGGGCCACCTGGAGTCACCCAGCTGTGCTCCTGGGTGTGCCACTGACAACACCTGGACTCTAGGCCGGCCCCTGGCCCGCACCCCCACCCTCCCCCACCTGTGGACCGAGGCGTCCAGAGGCAACAGCTCCTTCCAGGGGCAGAGGTGAGAAGAGCTTCCGGGCAGGTGTGGTTCTCAGAAACCCCAGCACCTGCGCGGGTCCGGGCGTGGGCGCCGTTGGCGGGCACGAGGCAAGGCCTTGGCTCTGAGTGTGAAGTTGTGGTGGTGAGTACAGCTGGTGTGAGGAGGGGGCGGGAGGGGCGGCAGCGGAGTGGCCACCCTGAGGGACCGCTGAGAACATTCGGGCCCTCGTCTTTGCTCAGGTGGGGCGGAGGTAGCAGATTCACATCTGTCTGTAGCCCAATAAAGAATGTGGGGCCTGATAGGAAGCCTGCATGTGTGACCTGAGTGTGGTTCTTCGGCTCAGTCGCTGTCTGCCCTGCTCGGAGCCTCCCCCGCCTCTGCATGCTCGCCCTCCAGGAAGGGGGAGAGGAGAGCTGAAAGCGGGGATCTTGCTGTCATCCATGTAAGGTGTTTGCATCTCGTCTTCCCCAGGGAGGGGGCGAGCTCCTTCCCTTCTCCAAGGGGAATCGGTGAGACTGACAGGCCCCCCAGAACCAGGAGCTTCCCCTGTGGCTCCGGGATGGGATGTGATGGGGGGCAGGGGGGACAAGACCCCACCCCAGGCCAGAGCCCAGGGACCCACATGCGCCAGAGGCCGTTGGTACTTCCCCAGGACAAAGAGGAAATTTGCAAAGAGGAAGTTTTTGAGTCAGAGGGCTCGGTGCCTGAGAGACAGGTTGACATACAGTAAGAGAGGTCCTTGGAAAGGACGGGAGTGTGACTGCCCCGTGGCCCGACCCGGAGGGAAAGATCTGGAAACAGCCTGGGTGCATCTGTTCCTGGGGGGGGGGGGGGGGGGGGGAGAAGGAACAGAATGTGCCCACGGGTCCACACAGCCACCAGGGTTTGTGCCACCTGTGCTTGGTCTGGGGACAGGCTGAGCTGGGACGGAAATGCAGCCCTCACCAGCTAAGCTGGGCACCACCAGGCTTCTCACAGGGCGATGTTTGGACGAGCCTTAGCCCCAGTAGCAGGAGCGAGTCCCCAGGGTCCCCCAGACACACTGCAACTGTTGTTTCGGATTTGCTAAACCAAGCGCTCCAATTTCAGGTTTAGAAAATACTGTCGTGAACTCAGAGGCCATCGGCTCTACCCCCTTTCGAAGGACACATGCAATCACTTTTTGGAACTATTACTGGTTTCTGGGTCCTGGGCGGATCCTTAAGGAAGTGGGGCAGGATGGGTATGGCACCCAATAGGGCTCTCGCATCCTGGAAAATAACACGATATGTGAAAAGTGTTCAAATAGAGGTACAGACAAAATTTTATGAGTGCACCGCAAGAAGGGAGTGACGCACTGCTCCTGGGGGAAGGGTAGGAGGCTCTACCCAAGAGCTGACTTAGCTCAGAGTCTGATTTCCCGCTGTGCTCCGCGTGGCTATCGTGCCAGCAAATGGTGGGTCCTCAGTAAATATTCATTTGAGTGAATGAATGATGCTAAAAACCGTGTTCTCAAAACCTGTGCAATGACTTTGAAAAATGTCTACAATATGGGGCACCTGGGTGGCTCGGTTAAGCGACTGCCTTCGGCTCAGGTCATGATCCCGGAGTCCTGGGATCGAGTCCCACATCGGGCTCCCTGCTCAGCAGGGAGTCTGCTTCTCCCTCTGACCCTCCTCCCTCTCATGCTCTCTGTCTCTCATTGTCTCTCTCGCAGCAAATAAATAAAATCTTAAGAAAAAAAAATTTTTTTTAAATGTCTACAATATAATGTTTACCTGGGAACAAAAGTCACTTACTAATCTGTAAATATGTATGAATCGAATCTTGAAATGAAAATGCAAAAACATAGGGGCCCCTGGGTGGCTCAGTCAGTTGGACTGACTCTTGATTTCAGCTCAGGTCCTGATCTCAGGGTCATGGGATCAAACCCCATGTCGGGCTCCACAGTCAGTGAGGAATCTGCTTGAGGTTCTCTCTCTCCCTCTGCCTCTCCACACCCTCGTATGTTCGAGCTCTCTCTCTCTCAAATAAACAAATAAATTAAAAAAAAAAAAAAAAAGGAAAGGGTGCCTGGGTGGCTCAGTTGTTAAGCGTCTGCCTTCGGCTTAGGTCATGATCCCGGGGTCCTGGGATCGAGCCCCACATCAGGCTCCTTGCTCAGCAGGAAGCCTGCTTCTCCCTCTCCCGCTCCCCCTGCTTGTGTTCCCTCTCTCTTGCTGTGTCTCCCTCTGTCAAATAAATAAATAAAATCTTTAAAAAAATTTTTTTTAATTTAAAAAAAAGGAAAGAAAATGCAAAAACATAGACATTGATAGAAGAAAGATTTGAAGGAAATATCCCAAATGTTTACTGTGGCTATCTATCAGGTGATAGGTTTATGAATGATTTTTATTTTGTTTATACTTTTCTGTATTTCCAAGTTTTATATAATAAATGCCTATCACTTTTACAATTAGAGAACACATTAACAAGCAGGTGTTCGCTGAGGGGATGGGGTGTCTGGTTAAAGGAGAGAGGGCTGGAAGAGCAGGTTGGAACCCCACTGTGAAGGGCAAGGGAGTTTGAATTCAGTTCTGAAAGAAGTGGGGAGCTCACCAAACCTAAGTCTGTTCTCGACTTTTCCAGGGCTTCTCAGAACCATCATGAACCCCCACTCCTTCCTGTCCTTTCTTCTTGGGTGCCAAGTTCCTCTGATCCTTCTTCCATAGTCCCTTGGAGTCATTCCTTCTCCCAGGCCCTAACACATCTTGCCTGGGTCCTGTCCGGTCTTCTCTTTGGGTTTCTTGACCCCAATCACTTCCATCCTCTGCCCAGTGACCCTTCTAAAAGGCCACTCTGTCCAGATTATCCCTGCACCTCTTACGGCAGTCAAGATAGAGCCCTAGCATGCATGATAAGACCCGTTTAGGATCTGGACCCCTCCTGGTCAGTCCTCGGTGCAAACATTATGCCCTCCAGTCTCATCAAATTCCTGGTAACTCCCTGAATATGACATGTGATTTTCTTGATGTGTGCTTGGGTGGGGAGTATAGTTTAAAATGCTAAAAATATTTATTCTGTCTAGACAGTAAAAAGTACACATTAAGATTATGCTTACAGGGGTGCCTGGGTGGCTCAGCCGGTTAAGCGTCTGCCTTCGGCTCAGGTCATGATCCCAGGGTCCTGGGATCGAGCCCCGCATCGGGCTCCCTGCTCCGCAGGAAGCCTGCTTCTCCCTCTCCCACTCGCCCTGCTCATGTTCCCTCTCTCGCTGTGTCTCTCTCTGTCAAATAAATAAATAAAATCTTTAAAAAAAAAAAAGATTATGCTTACAAATAAAGCTTTGTCATACAAAATGAAAATTCCAGATGGTAACAGAGTTTAGATAGAGAAGGTCTTGAGAAATCTATTAATGCAATTCATTTTTGCAGACAGGAAAAGAGCCTCCACGCATGATTCTAAGGACATTTCATTTCTGAAAATGGGTATTTACACCTAGATGTCCTCTGCATCCCTATTTCTGACCCTGGACCATGTTCAGTTTGGCAGGCAGAACCTGTGAAGGGTGGGCTGCAAGCAGGGGGGAACGCCTGTTGGTTCTGAGTCCTCCAAGCCCTTGGGCTGAGGGAATGGGAAACAGACCCCCATCTCTGAGCCCTGAAGCTCAGCAACCGTGCCTGGAGGCAGATGAAGCTGGAACTGTCAACAAAATAAGAAAGGAATATAATCAGAAGGTTATAAGATTCCCAGAGTAGTAGCAAGAGCTGACCCAGCCAAAAGTAGAGAGAAAACTTTCAAACTTTAAGAAGGTATTGCTTGGGATGCCTGGGTGGCTCAGTCGGTTAAGCGTCTGCCTTCAGCTCAGGTCGTGATCCCAGGGTCCTGGGATTGAGTCCCCCATCGGGCTCCCCGCGGAGCGGGGAGCCTACTTCTCCCTCTGCCTCTGCCTCTCTCTCTCTCTCTCTCTCTCTCTCTCATGAATAAATAAATAAAATCTTTAAAAAAAAAAAAGAAGGTATTGCTTGAGGATCCTACATGGTGGGTGGCTGTCCTGTTTGGGGGGAGGTTCGGGGTAGAACCGTTAGACAGAAGTCCAGGGTACTGTGAAGACAATCTATTTGCTCCAGACAATGAGCTGCAAATGGGCGCCTGTGTGCCTCGGTTTCCTCGGGTGCTCAGTACCTGCTTGCCGAGTCTGTGGCGTCTGGACGGCCCAGCTAGACTATGGGCCAGATCCATCCCAGGAGGTTGGCCATGAAGAGAGCCACTTACTCAGTCTTACATTCGCAGGCGCTCTGCCTGAAGCCAGCCCACCCCCGGCTTGCCCCAGACACACATATCTTGATTTCCCGCCAGACTCCTCAACCGTCAAGATTCAGCTCAAATGTCACGGCCTTTGTGAAGTTGCCCTTGCAGCTTCCAGCCCAATAGACACAGCATTTCTTCCACGGGGCATCGTGTGGGCTGTACAATAATTACAGCACAACCGGGCTGTAATTATGTGAAGGTGTCCCTCACTCATTAGAGTGGAGCCCCTCCAAATCCACGGGTCATCTTTGTGGTTTCAGAGTCCAGGGCCTGGCACTCAGTAGCCACTCAATATGTGTTTACTGAATGGAGAGATAAAGGAATTAATGAATGAACAAATGATGGCTTTAATTAAACTTGTGGCAAGCTTAGATCTGTGGGTTGTTTTTTTTTTTTAAGATTTTATTCATTTGTTTATTTAGGGAGAGAGAATGCACACACACTCAAGCGGGGAGGGGCAGAAGGGAGAGGGAGAGAGAGAATCCCAAGCAAATTCCACACCCAGCATGGAGCCTGATGGAGGGCCCAATCCCACAACCCCGAGATCATGACCTGAGCCGAAATCAAGTATCTGATGCTCAACTGACTGAGCCACTCAGGTGCCCCTTGGATCTCTTTTGAGTGAACTTAGCATCCAGGAGGATGGCCTGAAGGTAATACAGCCCAAGGTGAGAGCATTATTCTAGTACAATTTGGATATAGTGCGGGCCTGACTTAAGGGGAAAAAGACAGTCAAGTTTGAAATACACTTTTTCAGAAAATCAGATTTTAGCCCTAATTGGCTATTGGGTGATGGAGGGAAGAATGAGGTTAGGCTTCGAGATTTCTATCTTGGGAGGTGGAGGAGATGCGATGGCATTATGTAGAAATGCAGAGAGATGAGCAGTTTAAGGGGAAAACATAATGAGTTCATTTTTAGAACTTGGGAGGGAAGTCAGAGCTAGAGAGAGATTTGAAGTTCATCTGATTTTAGGTAGCAATTTAAATAATGGCATCGATGGGGGTGCCTGGATGGCTCAGTCGGTTAAGCATCTGCCTTCAGCTCAGGTTATGATCCCAGGGTCCTGGGATCGAGTCCCGCATCGGGCTCCCTGCTCCGCGGGAAGCCTGCTTCTCCCTCTCCCACTCCCCCTGCTTGTGTTCCCTCTCTCGCTGTCAAATTCTGTCAAATAAATAAATGAAATCTTTAAAATAAATAAATAAATACAGAAATCAGAAATAAACACATAAATAAATAATGGCATCATTGGATAAACTATGTCATTCACTGTGCAGCACGAGAAGGCAGCTGCGGAGAGAATCTCAGGAGTTAGCTGCTGTAACAAACACCCCCCAAATCTCAGGGGTATAACTCAGGAGAAGTTTCTTCCTTCCTTATGTAACAGCCCAATGCTGGTATTGGAACGTGGCCTTCCATAAGGTCATTCAGGGACCCAGTCTCCTTCCATTTTGTGGCTCTGCCATTCCCAGAGGGGAGAGAGGGCCACATCACAGGGAAGGCTTTCAAGGGCCCAGGTCTGGAAGTGGCGGCATCACTTTTGCTCACATTCCACTGGACAGAATTCAGTCACGTGGTGGACTCAGTGCAAAGGAGGCTGGGAAATGTAGTTTAGCTGTGTGCCGAGGAGAAAAAAGAGAAACAATCCCACCACACAGAGGGAACACCGAAATGTGAGGTTGGATGTAGGAAGAAGGACTTGGAAGAGACAGCAAAGAGCCTTTAAGAGAGAAACCGGGATAAAAATGGCATCTAGGAGAAAATAGTTTGGGGGCCTGGATGAGATTGAAGCAAGCAAGGTTCCAGGTGCGAGGTGGACCTTGGGAAGAGGAGTTAAAGGAAAGGAAGTGTTGATTTTCTACCCTGTCACTCACAGAGTTCTCTCACTTGATTATCAGTTGAACCCATGAGGGAGGAATTATCCCATTTTACAGCTAAGGAAACTGAGGTGCAGAAAAAGGTAAAAAGGTATTCAAGATCAGAAAGGATGGAATTAGGGTCTGAACCCAGGACTAAGGCCCATGATCCTCCCAGTGCACCCATCAAGGGAGCCTTCCAGCTGACACCAGCCCCCTCACAGCCTGCAGAAGCCTGGGTGTGTGGAGGGAACTGGGCCTCTGGCTCAGGGAAGAGAGGACTTGGAGTTAGACAAGCCAGAGTTCCTCCTGTGCTGTGTAGAAAGCGAAAGGAGAAGGTACATCCAGCCCCCAGGGGTCCTGGGAGAGGGCAGGAAGGAGCTCCAGAGAAGGGCTGGCTAGACCGGCCCCTTCCTCCTTCCTCTGGCAGCCCCACCCCCGCTCTGGCCTTTGCGAACACAGGATCTGAGCAGTGGACACACCAGCACTTGCACCTCCGAGCTGCATGGACCCTGAAGGTAAAGGAGCCTCCCAGGACTCTCCTCTCTGTCCCTGCATCACCATCTCCCCTCTCCTGCCTCCCTCCCAATCCCAAGTAATCTCAGTACCTTACCCCCCCATCCCCCACTACAGAAGAGCCCTTCTCATCCCTCCCATCTGCTCTCTGACCCCCTATCGCCCTCCAACCTCTCTGAACCCCAAGCACCACTTCTGTCTCCGGAAAGCCTCTTCTTTCTCTTTCTATAGTCCCCAACGAGTTCTGGGGAGAAAGGGGCTTGAGCCCCAGGAAAGGTAAGGTCCAGGTGGTCTGGAGGAGGCCATGTCTGGGGAGCAGCTCTGGACTTCGCCCCTTGCTAGCAGGCGGGGAGGAGGGGAGGCAAAGTCCTGTCCCTTCTGCAGCCCGGTGGGGGAGGGGGCTCGAGCCCAGTGACTCTGCCTGGGGTGGGGGTGATGTCGCTAAGGAGGTCCTGTGCATGATGATAGGGGTCAGGCTCTGGAGTCAAAGGCTCCTGTTTGAATCTGGGCTCCACCAGGAACAGGCTGTGTGACCTCAGGCGAGTCACCTGACTTCTCAGAGCCTCATCTCCGTGCATGTGTAAAATGACAATTCTAGCTCCCAGCTCACAGGGCTGTGGGGAGGGCAAATGACAGACCCATGGAAGCTATCTGGCCAGTGCCTGGAGGACAGGCGGCTCCTTCTTGAGCTCTCTGCATTTTCCCTTTCCCCTCCCTGGGCTGCTTCTTCCACAGCTCTGACCTGCCTCCCCTGCTTTTGGGCTTCTGCTGGCCCCACACACCTGATACCTCTCTCTGGCTTTGGAACCAGCTTTTGGGGGTGGGGAGGGGCCTAACCAGCTTTTGGCTTAGAAATGACCTCAGAGTCAGAGCCTGGGCTCAAGTCCCATCCCTGCCACCTGCTTGCTGTGTGACCTTGGACAAGACGCTTGTCCTCACTGTGCCTTGGTTTCCTCAGGGATGGAGTGAAAACGTTGCCTCCCCCTTGGGTCGTGGGGAGGGCTAAGTGACACAATAGGAATAAAGTGCCTGCTACACAGAAAGCCCTCGGCATGATTATGCTGGTGCTGGTGCAGACTCCCCACACCTGGCTCTCCAGCTCTGAGCGCTCCCCAGGCCCCCCTTCCATTTCTGGAAGCCTTGCGTGTCCATCTCCACCCTGACATCTCCCTGACGTGTCAGACTCAGAGACCTCCCCCCGGACCCACTCCATTTCTGTTCCTGCCTCACCATCCTCCCACTCGGCCTGGAAACTTCAGGGTCGTCTTTGACGGCTCATTCCCCCTCGCACCCCAATATCCAGACAATGACCGTGTCCTATGGACGTCCCTTCACCTGAGTGTCACCTAAACCTCTGCCTTTTCTGTTCCCACCTCCCTCTAGGGGAGCAGCCTGGTTGGGGGGGGGCTTCCTTCGCTTCGCCGCCTTCACGCTGCCTGCTCTCGGGTGATGTGTATGTAAGTGGGCTGGTGCTGGATCCAGGCCCCCACGGGACTTAAGCCAGGGGGGAATAGACAAGTCAAAGGGGTGAAGCAAAAGCTGGGGATGTGGGGGCAATGGGAGAGGACAGAGGTGGGGCAGAAGCAGATGTCAGGCTGTTGGGCAAAGACGGAGAGGTCAGACTTGGCCAAAGTGGGAGCGGGCCAGTCTCTGTGTGTGTGTGTGTGTGTGTGTGCGCGCGCGTAGGTACTGTGCTCTCTTACAGCCTTGGGAGCGACCCCCTCACCACCCTTCCCCTGGCCCACTACTTGCCCAGGCTGTTGCGACAGCCTCCCACCTTGCATCTTTCAAGAACACCAGGCACAGTTTAAATATTTAAACTTCCAAGTGACTTCTGACCCAAAGTTTTAGTGATTTTCCCGTTGCCTGTTGAACAAAACCCTAACTCGTTCCTGTCATCCAGGGCCTGCTCAGTCTGGCCCCATCCTGTGGCTCAGCCCTCTCGCTCGCTACCCTAATGAAGCACTCTGCTCTGAAATTCTGTAGATGCTTTTACCACCTGCGTGACGGGCAATCCTGTTGGGCCCTCTTTGGAGGTCATTTCTCTTCTCTAGGGAGAGAAGGGGATAAGAAAAGAACTTTAGCTGGAGGCTTCTGTGCGCACCAGCCTCTGTCTCCATCTGGCGTTAGCCCAATGGATCAACAAATAAATAAATAGCTGGAAGAACGAGATAGCCCGGGTCGCGCCCAGGGGTTCAGAGACATCTGGGCAGGCATTGCTAGTCACCTCTTTCCCTCCTCATTGTGGCCCTGTGATTTCTTTCCTTTCCTTTTTTTAAAAAAAAATTATTTATTTATTTGACAGTGAGAGAGAGTGAGCACGTGAGTGACAGGCAGAGGGAGAGGGAGAAGTGGACTTCCCGCCAAGCGGGGAGCCTGATGCAGGATTAGGTCCCAGGATCCTGGGATCATGACCTGAACCGAAGGCAGACGCTTTTTTTTTTTTTTTAAGATTTTATTTATTTATTCATGAGAGAGAGAGAGAGAAGCAGGCTCCCCGCTGAGCAGGGAGCCCGATGCGGGACTGGATCCCAGGACCCTGGGATCATGACCTAAGCCGAAGGCAGATGCTTAACCATCTGAGCCACCCAGGCGCCCCCGAAGGCAGACCCTTAACCCAGCCACCCAGGCGTCCCGATCTTTCCTTTCCTTTCCTTTCCTTTTCTTTTCTCTTTTCTTTTTTCTTTTGTCTCCTCTCCTCTCCCCTCCCCTCCCCTCCTCTCCTTTTCTCTTCTCATCCCTTCTCATCCAAAATCTGTTTATTGGATAGTTTCCCATTCATCTTGATTCGGGATGCTTTTAGTGCTGCTTGGGTCTGAAGGAGCATCCTTCCGAAAGCCTTGCTTTTCCTCCTGTGGGTTGGCAGAGGACAGTGGAGCAGTGAGCTCACAAAATTATGGTTTGTGGCTAAAGACGGCCGTGATTGGAGCATCTGGGCACTTCACGTCCATGAAGGACCAGTTGGCACTAGGCCAGGCGCTGCTTCTTTTCCCCTCTTCTCCTCTTCCCGGGCCCTGGAGGGGTGAGGAGGTCCTTCGCGAGGGGCATGTTCTCATGGGGAGGCCGTCACTGCGGGAAAGCCCTGTGATTGCTGCATGAAACTGGGTCTCAGAGAGGTTAGTTAGCAAGCCGCCTAGGTTCACTCAGTGGGCAGGTGGTGGAGTCTGATTCCAGCCCAGGTGTTTCTGACTCCCAGATGTTCCTACTACACCAGGGGCCAGAGCCCTGGAACCGTGGGTGTGGTTTGCAGAACTCTGCCGATGTCGACCTGATAAGCACATAGCAATTTAAAAATATCACTTAGGGCTAGATGATGGCGGTGGGGTGGGGTGGGGTCAGTGAGGGGACTCTGGGGCCATCCTGCCTGAGTTCGTGACCCTCACTCCCCACTCCCCAGCTGTGTGAACTTTGTGAACTGCAGGTGTGTTATGTGGCCTCGTGCCTCAGCTTCCTCATCTGTAAAATGGGGAAAATAATGAGACCTACCTCATAGGGTTGTTGTGAGGATCGAGTGTGTCAATATATATAAAATGCTTGGCACAGCTCGTCAGAAGGACTGCAGAAGTGTCAGCTGCTGTTTGTTTGTTTGTTTGTTTGGGTAACCTCTACCCCCAGTGTGGGGCTCAAACTCAAGACCCATTATTATGATTAGACAATATGTCATTCCAGAGTCTATCCTAGATGAATGGTAGTGGGCACCAGTTTTAAGAAAAATTTACGAAGGCGAAATCTTTAAAATGGACAACTTCTAAGTTAATTTTTTTCATGTAAATTGGGGAGAACCATCCTTTTTTTTTTAAGTTTATTTAATTTTAGTAATCTCTACACCCACCATGGGGCTCAAACTCAGGACCCCAAGATCAAGAGTTGCACGCTCCTCCGACTGAGCCTGCCAGGCGCCCCCTGCCTGACTTGGTTTTAGTTGGGACACATACCAGCCCCATAGCCGCAAGCACAGGTCACATCATTACACACAAAAGGAAGAGCAAACACTTGTTACTCATCTGTGGTGCATTCACAGAGTGTTTATTTATGCCCGTCCATCCCAGACAGCAACAAGGTAAGTGAGGGATGTAAAGAGGAAGGTGTGGGGGCTCTGATTCTGGCCCAGTCCCTCACGGCCCTGAGCCACCATCCAGGGAAGGCCACCTAGAAACACAGTAAACATCAGCCAACCATCCAGACGAGAACAGCAGAAGTGCCCATGGGAGGAAATCTTCCTATATTCTGCCAGGGTCATCACTTTATCTGTTTTTTTACATTACTTGTAAAGAAAGAAGTGCAGGAGGGGCGCCTAGCTGGCTCAGTCAGAAGAGCATGCACCTCTTCATCTCGGGGTCATGAGTTTGAGCCCCACGTTAGGGGTAGAGATTACTTAGATAAAGATTTTATTTATTTATTTGACAGAGAGAGACACAGCGAGAGAGGGAACACAAGCAGGGGGAGTGGGAGAGGGAGAAGTAGGTTTCCTGCTGAGCAGGGAGCCTGATGTGGGGCTCGATCCCAGGACCCTGGGATCATGACCTGAGCCGAAAGCAGATGCTTAACCAACTGAGCCACCCAGGTGCCCCAAGATTACTTAGATAAATAAAACTTTAAAAGAAAGAAAGAAGTGCAAGAAATATCCCCAAATGCTTTGTTTCCTCTCAGAAACAGGGATGCCAATTTCTTAAATTTTATTTAAATTCAGGGCGCCTGGGTGGCTCAGATGGTTAGGCGTCTGCCTTCGGCTCAGGTCATGATCCCAAGGTCCTGGGATCGAGCCCCACGTCAGGCTCCTGGCTCAGCGGGAAGCCTGCTTCTGCCTCTCCCCCTGCTCATGCTCTCTCTCTCTCTCTGTATCTCTGTGTCTCGAATAAATAAAATCTTAAAAAAATTTTTTAATTTAAAGTCAATTTAGTTAACATATAGTGTATTATGAGTTTCAGGGGTAGAATTTAGTGATTCATCAGTTGCATGTAACACCCAGTGCTCATTTTATTACGTGTCCTCCTTAATGCCT